ACTTGGCAGAGCGAGGACCATCGGGGCGGCCAGCCCCCCCGCTGTTTCGCAGGCCCGCGACGACGACGACGACGACGACGACGACGACGACGACGATGACGACGACCCCCGAACCCAACAGGCAGCACTGCTAGCAGCCCAGACTCCCTTCTCCCGCGTTGTGAAATTATCCCAGTGCGACCCTACCTAGGAGTTGGAGCATTTAGGAAAGCAACATCTACATCTACACCGACAGCTACATTTACATCTACACCTGCATCTACATGCCGTCTACTCTGCGCTATGCTATGCTATGCTATGCTATGTTGCGCTATGCTGCGCTATGATATGATATGCTATGCTATGCTATGCTAGGGTACGTTCGGCTGCGCTGTGGTATGCTAGGCTATGCTATGCTATGCTATGCTGCGCTATGCTATGCTATGCTATGCCGCACTATGCTATGCTATGCTAGGCTATGCTACGATATACTATGCTGCGCTATGCTATGACGTGCTATGCTATGCTATGTTATGCTGTGCTATGCTGCGCTATGCTATGCTGTGCTGTGCTATGCTATGCTATGCTGCGCTATGATATGCTGAGCTATGCTATGCTATGTTACTCTATACTGCGCTATGCATTGCTATGCTATGCTATGCTATGCTATGCTTGGTTATGCTATGATTTGCTATGCTGTGTTAATGCTGCGCTGCGCTATACTGCGCTAAGCTAAGCTAAGGTAGGCTAAGCTAAGCTAAGCCAAGCTAGGCTAGATTAAGCTAAGCTAAGCTGAATTAAGACAATCTAAGCTAAACTAAGCTAAGATGACATAGGCGAATCTAAGCTAAGCTAGACTAGACTAGGCAAAGCTACGCTAAGCTAAGCTAAGATGAGATAAGCGAAGCTAAGCTAAGCTACGCTAAGCTAAGCTAAGCTAAACTCTGCTAAGCCAAGCTAAGATGAGATAAGCTAAGCTAAGCTAAGCTAAGCTAAGCTAAGCTAAGCTAAGCTAAGCTAAGCTGGGTGAACCCAGGGGACGTAACTGGGGGAACCGCGGGGCGGATCCTGGGGGAACCGCGGGGCGGATGCCGGGGAAACCGCCCGGGGCGGGGTCCACTGCCCGGCCCCTTTAAGCACACACAGTAAGAACCCTTCTAGGCAGAGCCCAGGTAGGGAAAAAGCACGACGGGGGGTTTTCGCTATTTTCGGACTTCGGGGGCCCATCCAGGGCCGTCAGGAAACGACTCAGGATGAAAAACCGGCCCCGGGAAAAGGGTCCAGACTTCTGGGGGTCGACGTTGTGGAAAAAATCACGACGTCGGGGGTCTGGGTCCCAGGCCCCGCCAGGGGGCTGGCGCCCAGGCCCCGGGCCGGGGTCACGGCTGCCCCGGCGCATTCCCCAGGACCAGCGTTTCATCCTGAGTCGTTTTTTGACGGTCCCAAGGCCCGGCGAGGGCCCTTAGGGACCGAAGTTGGCGAAGAGCCTCCGTTTTGATTTTCTCAATGCGTTGGATCTCTGGGTCTGTCGACGCGCTGGGGCTAACCTGGCGGGCCACGGGTGCCCCGGCGTTGGCTCCTGCCGCCACGTCTTGCCGTCCAGCGCTGCACTACCGCCCGGGAGTTGGCCCCAGGCTCCTGTCGGCACGGCTGAGCTTGTCTGGCGGGCCATTGTTGCCCAAGCTCTGGATCCTTGAATCAGTTCCCTCCGCCCCACCCTGGACGACCCCCCACCCCACCCCCCCAAAAAAGCAATTGACCAGATTCATCTCTATATATATATATATATATATATATATATATAGACGCAAACAACAGCAACAACAACACCACCACCAACAACAGCATTAATCATTTTGAGACTGTTCGCCCTGATCTGCTCGAGTGTCCAACAACGCGTGTTTCCCAAACCCTCGATACCCGCCCTCTTCGTCTTCGATCGAACCCCTTTTGGGGGGTATACCTTTCTTCCCTGCAGGCCGGGCCCCGGCAAGCGGCGGGGCGGCCGCGGACCGTCGGCTTGGCCAGCGGCAGCGCTGACTGGCGGGGCGGCCGCGGACCGTCGACCCGACCCCAAGAGGGACGTACAGGGGACTGACCGCGACGACGACGACGTCGACGACGACGGCGACGACGAGCGAAAACGAGAACGAGAGAGAACGACAGCAGGGCCACAAGGACACGAAGTAGGCTACGAAGGGCGACAGCGGGGACACGAAGGGAATGCGTATGGAGCCACGAAGAGCGCGAACGAGCGGGGGACACGAAGGGCATACGTACACTGGGCTGGGGAGGGCAAGGAAGGGGCCACTGAGGGCAGCAAAGGGGCCACGAAGGGCATGCACACGGGGCCACGAAGGGCGACAGCGGGGCCACGAAGGGCAGGAAGGGGGCCACGAAGGGCGACAACGGGGCTACGAAGGGCAGGCGCATGGGGCCACGACGGGCGCGAACGATCGGGGGCCACGAAGGGCAGATCATGCGGGGCCACAGAAGGCAACGACGGGGCCACTGAAGGTAGCAACTGGGCCATGTAGGACAAGCGAGGGGGCCACAAACGGCGACAGCGGGGCCACGAAGGGCATGCACATGGGGCCACAACGGGCGCGAACGAACGGGGGCCACGAAGGACATGCGCATACTGGGCCGCGGAGGGCAAGGACGGGGCCACTGAGGGCAGCAACGGGGCCACGAAGGGCAGCGAGGGGGCCGCGAAGGGCGACAGCGGGGCCACGAAGGGCATGCATATGGGGCCACCACGGGCGCGAACGAGCCGGGGCCACGAAGGGCATGCATATATGGAGTCACGAAAAGCAGCGAGGGGGCCACGAAGGGTAGCGAGGGGGCCGCGAAGGGCTGCAACGGGGCCACGAAGGGCTGCGACGGGGCCACGAAACAAAGCGAGGGGGGCCACGAATGGCTACAACGGGGGCGCGAAACAAAGCGAGGGGGCCACGAAGGGCTGCAACGGGGCCACGAAGGGCAGCGAGGAGGCCACGAGGGGCTGCAACGGGGCCATGAAGGGCAGCGAGGGGGCCACGAGTGGCTGCAACGGTGCCAGGATCCAAAGCGACGGGGTCGCGAAGGGCTGCAACGGGGCCACGAAGGGCAGCGAGATCCCGATTCTTAGGTAACCTGCGAGGGAGTCCTAAACGTGAGCGCGACTCCTGGGTGCCTGGGTGTCGGGAGCGCGGTGCTTGAGTACATTCCAAGAATGTCCAACGCAAGGACGCTATTATTCAGTAAATTGCAAGCAAGTTTCCAGCGAGAGCGCGACTCCAGAGCGCCGGGAGAGCGATTCCTGAAATAAGAAAATCCCAAGCGAGAGCGCGATTCCTGCATAAAATGCAAGGAAGGCTCGGGCGGGAGCGGGGGTCCTGGCTAAATTGTGAGGAAGGCTCAGGCGGGAGCCGTTGTTGTTGTAACCCGGGGGGCCAACGACACAGTTTGACCCTTAAGATTTTCCTTGTCAGAAGTACAGGGTGCGAGCAACGGGAAGGGCTTTTCAATCGAGAAAAAACAGTGTGCACCGGACGGGGTGGTCAACAATAATTCTTTTTCAGAAATCAAAGTTCAACAACCACAACAATAACAACAGCAACAACAACAACAACAGCAACAACAACAGCAACAACAACAACAGCAACAACAACAGCAGCAACCACAACAACCACAACCACAACCACAACCACAACCACAACAACCACAACCACAACCACAACTACAACCACAACCACAACAACAGCAACAACACCAGCAACAACCAACAACAACAGCAACAACAACAACCATAACAACAACAACAACAACAACAACAACAACAACAACAACAACAACAACAACAACAACAACAACAACAACAACAGCAACACCACCAACAACAACAACAACACCAACAACACCAACAACAGCAACAACAGCAACAGCAACAACAACAGCAGCACAACAACAACGACGACGACGACGAAGACGGAGACGACGACGACGACGACGACGACGACGACGACGACGACGACGACGACGACGACAACAACACCCAGGTCATGCCCAGGAGTTCGACCGATGCATGGCGAAGAGGGAGGAGGGTGGACCTCGTCCTCTCTTCTCTCCACTTCCCTCATCCTGTTCCTCCCTCCACCCCCTCCTCCTCCTCCTCATCCTCCTCCTCCTCCTCCTCCTCCTCCTCCTCCTGCTCCTCCTCCTGACCCTCCCTCCTCCTCCTCCGCCTCCTCCTCCTCCTCCTCCTCCTCCTCCTCCTCCTCCTCCCCCTCCTCCTTCTCCTCCTCCTCCTTCCTCCTCCGCCCTCCTCCTCCTCCTCCTCCCCCCAGTTCCCTCTTCCTGTTCCTCCCTCCTCTTCCTCCTTCTTTAACCCTGGCCGGACCTGAAGAGCAAGCTTGTGGCGGTAGTCCTCCTCCTCCTCCTCCTCCTCCTCCTCCTCCTCCTCCTCCTGTTCCTCCTCCTCCTCCTCCTCCTCCTCCTCCTCCTGTTCCTCCCCCCTCTGTCCTCATTCTTCCTCCGCCTCCTCCTCCGACGATGCCCAGAAGGAAAAATGCCGGGGGAGGCGTCCCATACAGTGCGTTCGGCAGGGGCCCCGTCGACGCACGACGCGCTTCAGCTGATCTGGGGGGTGGGCCTCGGCTGCCCCGCTCCAGATAGGACGAGGAGGAGGACGAGGAGGAGGACGAGGAGGAAGAGGAGGAGGAAGACGAGGAGGAGGAGGAGGACGAGGAGGAGGAGGAGGAGGACGAGGAGGAGGAGGAGGAGGACGAGGAGGAGGAGGAGGAGGAGGAGTTGGATCCCTTCGTCCCACCTCAGACGACCACCCAGGCTCCTTGAGCTGGTTCCGGGGGTTTAGCGTGAGCACCCGGCGGAGAACGGAGACAGACTGTCAGGCGGGCAGGAGGGGATGAAAGGGGAGTAGAGGGCAGGGAGGCAAAGGGTGTGTTAGGAGGGGGGGAGTGAGGGCGTTGTGAGGGTAGGCCCTCCAGGCGTCTGGTGAGGATGGGCCAACCGCGGGCCAGGCGTAGTAAACGAGTGGAGGCGCGCCGCCTTCAAGATCGTCGCGAATCCCAAGTTCGACTTCGCGCTCGGCATCATCATAGTATCCAACGCCGTCACGATTGGCCTGGAGAGCACCTTCAGCCGAAGAGGCTCGGCCTGGGGGCACGCTGAACAAAATGAGAACGAACATTCTCAGCCTCGAAGACAAGTATCGCTCTGGGCAGTCGTCTGTTACATCTCCCTTTTCCTCCGACGTTGCTCTTGTAGGTGATGTCGTCCCTCGGGGCTTCGGCCACTTCCCCGAGGCTGACGTTGCATCCCGCGTCGGTTTCTGACGGTCCCGGTTCTTGGCGACGACCTCGACATGCCGAACCACTAGAGCGAAATATTGTCACGGTTTGTTCCGCACCGCCTGGATCCGAGGAGAGGAGACGCCTTTCCGAGGCGAGCAGCTCCCTTGAGGGGGGATCGATTCCCAAACAGTGCTTGCGCGTGGGGCTGCTTGCTTCTTTTCCGAGGAACTTGGCCCAAGTGTCGGTCTGGCGGCTATGTTGTCGCCGTCGCCGCCCCGCCCCCGCCCGTCGTCTGGGCCTGCTTGTCGGTCTGGCGGCAATGTTGTCGCCGTCGCCGCCCCGTAGCCGCCGACATGGTACACTGTAGCGCCGCGTCTACTGTATCTTCTCTCTTCCAATAACAGGAAGTCGGATCTACCTCACCCCGAGGCCGGGACTATCCGCTTCCCCCTGGAGATGCGCAATTTACACATGATGTTGCCCCGTCGTCCAGTCTGAACTGATGTCATACCATCCCAGCCAAGCCGGGCTCGACACCCCCCACCATCCTCGGCCACCAAAACTCCATGCGCGTTTTTGTTTCCCTCCGTCGCGGCGCGGCAGAGGCGACTCGCTCGCGCGTGGAGCAGATCCGGGAGGCGGAGCTGCGAGCTGCCCCGCGTGCAGGGAGGGGAGGAGCCGCAGAGGGCGGCCGCGGGAGGAAGGAGGGAGGAACGGGCAGGACGCTCCTCACGCGGCAGCGCCGCAGGGAGCGCGCGGGGCGGCCGGGCTGCAGAGCACCTGGCATCGCTCGGACGTGTGCACTCTTTTCCTCGGCGAGAGCCATCGAGGAGCGTCCCTGATCCTTTGGCGGAGCAGCCACGCACGACACCGAACAAAAAACACAGGGAATGGACGTCCGAGCGATGGCGGGAGCAGCCCTGGGCAGGGGCGCGGGGCGGCCTCGCGGGCGCGCCCAGGGGCGGGGCCAGCAGCCGCAGTGCGGGCGAGGCCCGCTGTGCGCGCACACCTCGCTGGTTAGAGAGCACGGGATTTCAAGGCTCCCTCGACAAAGTCGAGGCGAATTGCACACGGGCGCATCGTCGCGTGCGCGTGCCGGAAGCCGTCAAATAGCTTCAGTCCCGTACGGGATTCAGAATCAAGTGCCCCCAAAACACGTATACAACACATGGTTCCGCAACACGATTGTTCAAACAAGCAAACAGACAAATCGGTTTACGCGCGCGCGCCCCCTCGCAAATGTTTCAAAAAACTATACGTTCGATCGAACACGTTCATCACATGCGACCAAACGGGCCTTGCGCGCACATGTCGAAATCAATCGGACGCTCTTGCGCGCGTTCTGGGGGGGGGCATTTCTTGTCAAATAGTACCATGCGTGCCATTCGCGGCCGCGCGCGCCTATCGAAATCCGTCGAAGACTTTCATCGCCGACACGTGGATACCATCATCGCCATCGGCGTGATCAGCATCGGCGCCGTCATTGGCCTGGTCGTCGTCACTGTCGTCACCAGCCCCGCTGCAAGCATCATCGTGTCCTCCGTTGTCGGCGTCGCCACGGCACCACGCCCGACCGACTCGCCGACTCGCACGTAACGTGCCCGCGCGTCGGCGCGGCCTGCGAGACGCGCGAGGAAGGCCCCAGCGGTCAGCGCCACCGCGGCCGCACTGGTCGCGCCAAACTAGCTGGCCGCTCTGAGCGCGAGCCCGCGCGCGCTAGTGCGGCTGCAGCGCCGTCGAGCAGTCATCGGCGTCGCCGCCGCATGGGGTTTGCGAACCATGTTGCTGGCAGGTGGATGGGACGATTCCGCGAGCAGTTGAGATGGCAACCCACAGCGTTTAAACATTGATTGCGCCACATAGACTCTCGTTCTAAAAAGAGAATAGGCTCTACCCCCCCGGACTTATCGGCCCTCCCTGGGATAGTACGATGTCAGAAATATTCTGCACACTCGTCCATCCTACATATGAAATCATAGCATCCCAGCCAAACCTGTTTCCCCCCCCCCTGAGGTTCCTTTGTAAAACCACTATGCGGTGACATCTGTTGTTCTAACATAGCACGTTTTCGCGAATCCCATGCAACAAATGAGACGAAGTGCCACGCGCGCGTCGTCGTGCGCGCATGCCGAAATCCTTCAAAACCTTCGGTGCGGGAAGGATTTCGCAATCGAGTTTCCAGAACACATACAAAAACACAGGGTTTCGCAACCCGGATTTGCTACAAAAACTTCCGCGCGAGCTCTTGCGAAATCTTAAGAAACCCATAGGTTTTTCAAGATCTTCACACAATGCTACCAAACGGGCTTCGCGCGCGCTCATGTCGAAACCTGTCGAACGCCCTTGCGCGTGTGCCGTCGCGAGGATCCCCTGTAACAGATGGGACGAAGTGCAGACGCGCGCGTCGTCGCTCGCGTATGCCGAAAATCTTCAAAACCCATCGTTTTCGGAAGGATTCCAAAATCGTGTGCCCAAAAACCTAAAAAAAAACCCGAGGTTTCGCAACACGGACTTTCAACAAAAGCGTGCGCGCGCGCTCTTGCGTAGTCGTCGTCGTCGTCGTCGTCGCCGTCCTCCCTCCTCCCGCGTCGTTGTCGTCGTCGCCTACGTCGTCCTCTGTCTTTCCTCGTGTTCGTCGTCGTCGTCCTCTTTGGCGTCCTGGTCGTTTCCGTCGTCGTTGTCGCCGTGGTCGTCCTTCCTCCTCCTCCCTCGCCGTCGTCGTCGTCCGTCGTCGGCGTCTCGTCGTCGTCCCTCCTATTTCGTCGCCGTCGTCGTCGTCGTCGTCGTTGTCGTCGTCGTCGTCGTCTTCCCTCCTCCCTCGTCGTTGCCGTCGTCGGCGTCGCCGTCCTTCCTCCTTCTTCGTCGTTCGCGTCGTCGCCGTCCTCCCTCCTCCCTCGTCGTTGTCGTCGTTGTCGCCGTCGTCGTCCTCCCTCCTTCCTCGTTGTCTTCGCTGGCGACGTCGTCGTCGTCTTCGTCGTCGGCGTCGGCGTCGGCGTCGTTGTCGTCTTCGTCGTCGTCGGCGTCGGCGTCGTCGTCGTCGCCGCCGTCGTCGTCGTCGGCGTCGTCGTCGTCGTCGGCGTCGTTGACGTCGTCGTCGTCGTCGGTGTCGTCGTTATCGTCGTCGTCGGCGCCGTCATCGTCGTCGTCGTTGTGATCGTCGTCGTCGTCGACGTCGGTGTCGTCGTCGTCGTCGTCGGTGTCGTCGTCGTCGTCATTGTCGGCGTCGTCGAAGTCGTTGGAGACGCCGTCGGTGTTGTCGTAGTCGTTGTCGGCGGTGTCGTCATCGTCGTTGTCGCTGTCGTCGTCGGCGTCGCTGTTGTTGCCAAGTGCCATGTGGTACCCACCGCCACGGTCTTAAGAGATTTTGCAAACCAAGTTGCGGGTGGGTGGGTGGGTGGGATGTTTGCGCGAGCAGTGGAGTGGACAATTCATTGCGAACAGAAAGTAATTGCACCACGTAGATTGCACCATATAGTTAGCACCACATAGAGTGTACCACGCAGATTGCACCACATACGTCTGCACAGCACGTATTGCACAACAAAGGTCATACAAAAAGGTTGCACCGCATCTATTGCACCACACACATTGCAACACCCAGATATCATAACGTAGATTGCACCACTTAGATAGCACCACGCCGATGACACCGCATAACGTGCGCACCACACAGATTGCGCCACCGAGATTGCACAAATGAGTTTGAATCACATAGGCTGCGCACCACATAGATTGCACAACATACCTTGCACAGCATAGATTACTGCACATATGTATCAGGGGGAGGGTACCCTCGGATGTGCTTCCGTTTGGCCGGCGGGGGCCTCCGCGGAGGGTCTCATGTTCTTGAGCGGTGTCATGCTGCCCCAGGTCCGGCGTGTGCCGTTGCCTGCCGTTGGCCCGCCGCTCCCCGACAGGCGAGCCCCTCCCGCTCTGGCTCCACCTCTGCGAGTACAGCGTCCTCGTCATATACATCTGCGAGCTGGTCGGAGGGGGAGGGGGAGGGGGAGGTGGAGACGGAGAGGAGCAGGTGAGTAGGAGGAGGAGGAAGAGGAGGAGGAGCAGGAGGAGGAGGTGGAGGAGGAGCAGAAGGAGCAGAAGGAGGAGTAGGAGGAGGAGGAGGAGCAGCAGCAGCAGCAGGAGCGGCCTCAGGTCTTCCGCCTGTACGCCCTCGGGCCGTCGGAGGCGTTCAAGAGCAACTGGATTCGCTTCGACGCCGTGCTAGTCGCTTCAGGCGGAGCGCGATAAGTAGGGAGGAGGGGGCGGAAGAGCAGGAGGTTGCCTAAGTCATAAAGGGGAGAAGCAGCCGAAGCATGGTGATGAAGAGGAGGGGGAGGGGGAGGAGGACAAGTGTACACCCAAGACTCACCAGCCAAGTTCCATTCCCATATGCCCCTAGAAGGGTTCATTTTCACTGAGGTAAGTGCCCCGTTGGAAAAACTTGTGCCAGAACCCCATTCCTGGGAAAATAACGCTGCGAATCTCCGTGACTGTTGCGTCTTCACGATCCCGAATCGTGCTGGAACACAATTCCTGCGACTTCACCACCGCGAAACAACGTGATTGTTGCGCCCTGACATTCCGACGTCGTGCCAAAACACCAAATCTGGGAAGTTAGCCATGAGAATCCTTGAAACTGCTGTAAAATCTTAAGACGAATGTGCGCGGCGCTAAGGCGAGCCACATTTTGAAAAGGAATCGCCCTCCGTCCGTGAAGCTTCTGCAAACTTTTAAGACTAATGTGCGCGGTGTTAAGGCGAGAGCCACATGTTGAAAACGAACCGCCCTCGATCCGTAAAACCATTGCAAATACTAAGTTTCAGGATCACCAGTGGTGAAGAAGTCTCAGGCATAACGCCCCGCCCGCCCGTTCGACCAGCCTCGGGGTGCGACAGGGAGAAGTTAAGGAGAAGGGATGGAAACGAGAGAGAGAGAGAGAGAAAAAAAAAAAACAAAAAAAAAAAACGGAGAGAGAAGGGATAGGCGGTGTGAGGGACCTGAGTACCATGGTGGGGTCCCAAGGCATTGTTGCGGGACTCGCCAGTGAAGGCCGCCGCCGCACCAGGGAGCGGCGGGGCTTCGGCCCGATCGGGGACCGGGCTGCCTCGGTGGGCAGGGCCAGTGAGCAACGCCTCGTCAGGGTTGGCGAGATCGCCGCCGAGTCCGCAAGGATCCTCGTTGTCGGCGTCGAGTTGGTGTAGTGTCCAGGCCGCCACGAGGTCGTCGAGGTCGGTGCTTGGCCCAGCGCAGCCGCCACCCTTGTGCTGCCATGTCATCGAACTCTCGGGGTCCAGAGCAAGAGGTGCGGTCTTGGCGACCGTCCTCGGTAGCGAGCCTCCCAGGGCATGTGCCTTCGAAAGGGGCCTCGTCGTGGTTGTCAGACCCTCCGACCCCGCAAGGGTCGAACTCGTCGTCGGCCTCCTTTGTGGACCTCCTTCAACGCCCTGGTGGCAGCTGCCGGCGGAGTGCGCAGGAGGTCCTCCGCCAGCCGCAGGGCGAAGGCACGCCCGACGAAGCTCCCCTCTTCGGCCTGCCCCGCGCGGCGTGTGAGCGAGGGGCGGGGTGCGCGCCCGAGGCTCGCAGACTTCCACCGCCGCGCGGCGGAGAACCACGGCGCATCGGTGTCGCCACCTGGCGGCCCCACGACCTCCGCCGGGAGGCTGTTCCTCCTCCTCCTCCCCCTCCTCCTCCTCCTCCTCCTCCTCCTCCTCCTCCTCCTCCTCCTCCTCCTCCTCCTCCTCCTCCTCCTCCTCCTCCTCCTCCTCCTCCTCCCCAGGGCGACCGCGCGCGTGGCCCGCTCGGCAGCCTCGCGGCGGAGGCGCTCGGCCGTGAGCGAGACCTGCCCGGCATCGGTGTGCCAGCCTGGCCGAGACGAGGCACGGCTGCTTCGCCACAGAGCCGGCCGGGCTTTGTGAAACGACGCGAAGATCGGGACAAAATCGGATCGGGATAACTCGAAATCTCTGAGAATCGGCGGGAGTGGAGGATGTATTGGGCGCCGCGGCCGCTCCAGAGCGTTCCGGAACGCTCTGAGAGCGCTCCGGAACGCTCTGGAGCGATTTATCCCGATCCTAGCCCTGTTTTACTTTGCCGGGGCGGCGCAGTGAGCAGGGTGAGCGCCTCGTCGACCACGGCCTTGTCGACGGATGTGTGGGCAGGGTGCTCCGCCGTGGAGGTGGCTGGGGGGGGGGGGGAGCGCCGGTGCCTCTGCACGCTGGGCGCGCGCCCTGTCGAGGGTCCGTGCACCCTTGCGGCGCGGTGCAAAATTGGTCGGGGGACGATTGTTTGACTATAGCGGGCCAGTGTGATTTTTTGTTAGACTATGTTTTTTTTGTCGACCGAGATTCTAGACTATGTTTTAGACTATGATTCATTCTAGACTATGTTTTAGGCTATGTTTCAGACTATGTCTTATTGTAGACCAGTTTATGTTAGACTATTGCAGACCAGTGTGACATTCTTTTAGACTATGTTTTTTTTGTCGTCCGAAAGTCCCTTGTAGGAGGACGCGCCCGGCCTAACACCAGGGCAGGCCGCGCGTGGTTTTCGTCCGACTTGAGAAGAGCAGCGCAGGCGAGTGACCTTTCGTCCGGCGTTTCCGAGGGGAACGAACATCAACGGCACCTTAACGGGTACTTCCTAAAGGGCATTTTGAAATGTTGCCGAAAGTTGCCACTTTAGGGCCTTTTTCTGGCATTGCAGCGTTGCCCACATCGGGAAGGGTTGGGTTCGCTGGGTCACTGGCCAAAGTACCCGTTAGTGGAGTCCCCGTTTGAGGGGCGCTGAGAACAATGGCACAAACGTAGAAAGTCGGAGGTCCGCGCGGATTTCTCGGATCCACGCTGGAGACCCCTGGCGGCGCCTCCGGCGCCGCCCCTGGCGCGCTCCGCGCGCCAGGAAGGGGGGCCCAGCGCGGATCCAAGAATTCCGTGCGGACCTCCGAGTTTTCATGTTTATGCCATGTTCGAATCCAGCAGCTTGCGGACTCGGACGAAATCGACCCCGATTCGCATAGCTTGGAAGGGACTGAGGGTGCGGCCTATTCGATGGCACGATGCCGCTTAGATGACGCTCTCGCTCACGTTAGGTCTCTCGCACCAGACCTTTCGTGTTCGGTCTTGGTGCCCTGTCTACGCTCGTGCGCGGACCTCCGACTTTTTACGGTAAACATGACACTCGGCGGCCCGCGCGGAATCCTGGCTCTGTTCGTCAAACTTACATCATAAAAACGCATTGTGGCCGCAGCCCGCGTCGGCGCGAGCGGATCCTGGCACTCTCAGTTACATTCAGTTACACTCAGTTACGCTCAGTGACATTCAGTTACATGCAGTTACATTCAGTTACATGCAGTTACATTAGGTTGCTCCGAGTGGCGCTGGGTTGCGCTGGGTCCCACTACGCTACACTAGTCCACAGTCAGTTACGCTCAGTCACATTCAGTTACGCTCAGTTACACTCGGGCTACAGTCGGCTACGGTCGGCTGCTTTCAGTTATATTCACCTACATTCAGTTACACACATTTGCGCGTTGTCGCGCGTAGTTTCATCGGCTGCGATGAGTACTGCGTGTGATTTGGTGTATGGGAACCTTCCGCCCATATCTCCGTAACAATCGGTGTTGGCGGCGGTGGCTTGGTCGTCGTCGTCGTCGTCATCGTCGTCGGCCGCGCCAGAGAAGACGGGGGAAATTCCGTACAAAAGGTTAGTCTTGTACGTGATTTCCCCCCGCGCCTCCGCATGTGGATCTACATGTGATTTTCTAGCGGCGCTTTGCCGTATCGGGGCTTGCCCTCAGATAGCAACTACGTGCAACTACGTGCAACTGGGTGTAACTGCGTGCAACTGCGCGTAACTGCGTGTAACTTCGTGTAACTAGGTGTCACTAGGTGCAACTGCGTGTAACTAGGTGTACCTAGGTGTTACTAGGTGTAACTAGGTTAACTAGGTGTAACTGGATGTAACTAGATCAACTCGGTCAACTAGGTGTAACTGGATGTAACTAGATCGATTCGGCAACTAGGTGTAACTAGGTCAACTAGGTTAACTTGGTGTAACTAGATCAACTAGGTGTAACTGGATGTAACTGCGTGTAACTGGGTGTAACTAGGTGTAACTTAGTGTAACTAGGTGTAACTAGGTGTAGCCGTGGTCGCCGTTGTCGCTCAATGCGCGACGCTACTTGCCGGCACCGCATGTACGAACAATGACATAAATCATGCCTTTTTCGTTATCCTATTTCTGTGCAGCGCCATGTCTGTGCAGGCCGGGCTGTCTTCTCGATCGGGGGGCCGCGGGCGTATGATCATCATCGGTTGAATGCTAAAGTAGGTTGGAACATCAGATGTTCGAACCTACATTAGCATTCAGCAGCTGGCGCCTGCAGGGGGGTCCTCCTCCTCCTCGAACTCCTCCCCCTCTTCCTCCTCCTCCTCCTCGTCCTCGAACTTCTCCTCCCCCTCCTCCTCCTCCTCCTCCTCCTTGAACTCCTCCTCCCCTCCTCCTTCTCCTCCCCCTCCTCCTCCTCCTTCCCCCTCCTCCCGCGCCGAAATCCGCTTGCAGCGGACCGCCAGCCCCGTCGCCCACCGTGCGGGGACCCGACGTGCCGCGGAGCAGGTCCCTGGGCGCCAACCCTCGGCCGCCGTCTATCGCCAGCCCTGCCCGCGTCAGGGGCAATGTCAGGGGGGTTAGGGCTCGGCGGGGGCCGAAGTTTCGAGGCTCGAAGGTCGATGTTCCTCGGGCGTTTTCGTCGCTTCGCGGCGGCTTTTGCCGGCCTCGGGATGCTTCCAAGCAGCTGCGCCTCGCCCAGGGCGTCGCAGGGGTGCCCCCGGAGCGTCGCGAAGGGACACCGGAGAGCCGAGTTGTGGCCCCGAAGCCATCAGGGGCACCGTTAGGGGGGGGGACAGGCTGAGACCTCTTCCTCCTCCTTCTCCTCCTTCTCCTTCTCGTCCTCCTCCTCCTTCTTCATCCCCGTGGCTCGGTATGTTCCTCTTTGCCCCTCCTCCTCCTCCTCCTCCTCATCTTCCTCCGCCTCCTCCTCCTCCTCCTCCTCTTCCTACTCCTCGTCTTCCTCCTTCTCCTCATTCATGGTCGATGGGGACCCGATAGTACACCCACCCGGGAGCGAGCGGTGTCGCTCTCGGAGGCCTATCGCCGATCTATCGACGAGGCATCGCCGATGCCAGGTCGATGTTTCCGCCCCTAAGTTGGTCCCCCCGATTGCTGCCTCTTATCATGTCCCAGCAGAGGTGGCTGCGCCATCCTGTCTGAGCCGCACCTGGGATCGGCATCCCCAGATCTGCGGCAAACGTGGCAGGGAGCCGGGCAGCTCGCGCCGTGGTCTCTGATCCCTGAGCCTGGCACGTGGTCTTGTAGTGCCCAGCCACCTTGGGAACTTCCATCCCTAAGGGAAGAATGTTGTCTTACAGTCCCGCGCTACAACCTGCGGCGCAGCCAGATGCTCATATCCGTGCCAGTACACCCTTCGGGTGATAAGGAGGTTCGGGGGCAGGAGCCAACGTCTCACTAAATCGATTTCACTGTCGATATCATTATCAATCTCACGATCGGAATCGTTCTCGATCTTATCATCGATCTCAATATCGATCTCGCTATCGATCTCATTATCGATCTCACGATTGATTTCACGATTGATCTCACTATCGATATCACGATCGATCTCGCGATCGATCTCGCTATTGCTCTCACTACAGGACACCGACGGGGCACCGACGGGACACCTCGGCGGGAGAACCCGGCCACCGCCCGCCCTCCGGGGGAGGTTCGGACAATGGTATAGCCCCGCCCTAGCAACACCGGGGTCGTTCCTCTCTCGCCCTCCCACGCAGCTTCGCACCGCCCGTGCGCACGGCTCGACTGCGGAGCCGATTTCCCGGCAGGGGGGATCTCCGTGCCACTCCGATCTCATCCCCCAACTTCCGACCTCCTGTTTCACCACCCAGCAAACCACCCCAACCCAACCCGAAGGCCTCAATTTGCCGCGCCCTCCATTTCCAGTGAGGGGGGGTCGGGGAACGCTGAAAAAACACATATGGAACCTGCGCCCCCCCCCACCCGAAATCGGGGTCTTCGGGTTGGGTTGGGGTGGTCTGGTGGGTAGTCATTGTTGGCAGCTGCAGACGCTTTGCTTCCCCAGCCACTGGACCTGGGGTGGAGATCTCGTTCAAGCGAGAATCGGGGCACGCTGCTGCTGCCCCTTGCAGGTGCTTGCCAATGTCGATGGCATTGAGCGCGATCTTGTCATCATGATTGAACTTCTCAGCGCACACAGCCGCCACACGCGCAATTCTCGAAGGTGGATAGACCTCCTACCCTGACACGTCGATTAGTGAATTGGCCGTTTTCGGTTCGCGCGAGGGCGTCGCGGCCGTCATCTTTGCGGGTCCAGGTCAGTCGGTGTCGGTCCCAGGCCGTTGTTACCAAAGGGAGGTTTACTAAAGGGAGGTTTGCTCACCGCCGAAATTCGTTACACCCCCCTGGGTCTGAGTCGATCGGCCGACCATGGGCTCTCCGCGAAAGCCTCGAGCTCACAGGTTCAATGTCTGCCTCTTTCGGCGGCGAGCGAGGGGGGGACGTGAGAAGGAGAAGGCCCTCTCAGAAGCCGGCGGGGCCTCTCGGAAGCCCTCCGGCCCTCTGAGAAGTGCCTTCTGCCTTCGGGGAAGGCTCAGAACATGTTTCAGTCAGCAGGAGAGCTCCAAGCCTTCTGGGAGGTTGGTACCGCTCGGGCGTGTGCACTTTTCCTCGGCGGGGGCTATCGAGGAGCATCCTGGATCATCCCGCGAAGACACCACGCACGAAACCGACAAAAAAACGCAGGGCACAGTCGGGGCCTTGAAGAAGGAGCCCTGTTCGTTGGGAAGGGGCTCCGCGCTCCTGAAGTGTTTCACAAGCTTGCCCCAGGCTTTCCTGATGTCTTCGACAGGAAATCGCGAAGGTTGACTTATGGAACAAAGGGGCCTCGTTCCTTATTTGGGGTTCCTTAGGTCAACGCCCCGACTGTATGGACGTCCGTCGGAAGCTGGGCGAGGGCTGCTAAAACCGTGGCTGCTAAAACGGCCCTCCCGGAAGGGAAAAACAACTTCCCGGAATGAGGCGCGGCACGCGAAACAGTCAACGGGCTTCTTCCCGGAAGGACGAAGACAACTTCCCGGAGGTCGATTTTAGCAGCCACGGATTTAGCAGCCCTTGCCCGGCTTCCGAGTCCGAGCGATGGCCAGGCAAGGCCCGCCCCCTCGCGCTTGCCCCCCTGCGCTCGCCGCCGCCCTCGGCGCGGCCCGCCCCGTGCCTGGACGCGTCGGCGCCCTGCCGGCTGCACGCCGAGCCTGTTCCGGCACGCCCCGAAGCGCCTCACGACCTGGGGGCCACCTGGCCGCTCCCGCGGCCCCCTCCTCCTTCCTTCCTCCTCCTCCTCCTCCTCCTCCTCCTCCTCCTCCTCCTCCTCCTCCTCCTCCTTCCTTCCTCCTCCGCCTCCTCCTCCTCCTCCTCCTCCTCCTCCTCCTCCTCCCTCCGCAAACCTCCTCAATCCTCCTCATCCTCCTCCAATCCTCCTCAATCCTCCTCCTCTCCTCCTTCCTCTCCTCCTTCCTTCCTCCTCCGCCTCCTCCTCCTCCTCCTCCCCTCCTCCTCCTCCTCGTTTTTCTTCTCTTCCTCGTACCTACTCCACCTCCTCCTCCTCCTCCTCCTCCTCTCCTCCTCCTCCTCCTCCTCTTCCCCCTCCGCCTCCTCCTTCTCCTCCTTCTCATCCTCCTCCTCCTTCTGACATAGACTTTACTCCCTCCTCCGCGCCGCGGTTGCAAGCTCATCGGGGCAAGATGGGGACGATACTGGGGCGGAGAGCCTACGCTGAACGGGTGGGCAAAGTGTTTAAGGACTTGGGGCATTGCGTTGGCGTCGATTAGATAGCAGTGCCTCGGACTGGAAGCATGCTTTCCCCCCAATCCTTGCCCTGTCTTCCTCCTCGTTTCTCCGCCCCTGAGGTCCCCTCGAGCGACCCCCACCCACCCACACACCCACACACACCCACACACACACACACACACACACACACACACACACACGTACACACACCACCCACGGCCAGGCTGCGCGCCAACGCGAGGGGGTCGCCCCGCCTAGAGGAGCCTCTCGGGTGGCTCCCGACATGCCACTTGCGTTTGCGAGTTGGTCCGAGCTGACTTGTTGGCGCCCGGAGCTTTTCCGATTATTCGAAGTTTGTACATTATTGAAGTTTCGATGCGATTGTCTTGGTTTCTCTTCTATCCGCCTAATAGTCCTTAGGATGCTGGATGGAAACAGATCGCCACCACCACCACCACCATTGCCATTATCTTCTTGGTCAGGCGCACCCCGTTTTTAATGAAGTGCAGCATACGTATTGCGTAGAAGTGTCATTGTGGCGTTATGAAGGTCTTCAGAAAGTCATACTCCTTCTCCTCAGCCTCATCATTGAACATCTCTTTCCTGTTGCTGCTCCTCCTGGTCCTGCCCCCAATCATCCGCATTCTCCTCTTCCTCCTACGTCCCTCTCCGTGCGTATCAGATCGGGCGGATGGGGCATTGCAGAGACCAGGTGTCATGAACTTGCTCATCCACCTGTCAGCGGCGCAGGGGGACTGGGCCTTAGCGTCCCACGGCTCGCACAAGTCGCGGCCGCTCGCGGCGAGTGGCTGTCTCCGCGTGCTCGCACGAGCGATCCCCAGTCCAAGCCAAGAACAGGCACGAGCAGGCTGGCCACGAGCACCGGCGGACCCGGGGGGGGGGGCGAGGGACGCGGCGGAGCGGGCGTTTGTGGTGATGTGTGGGTGCCTCGTCATGAGATGCCAGCGTGCGTAGGAGAAGCAGACGGCGAGGTGCCGAGGACATGGGCAAAGTCATGATGAGGTTTCTCGCTGCAAATGCTATACCAAAGTACTGGGCAGTGACGTGTGCGAGCTCGGCGTGGACTTCACACGACCCCCGCTGCACCCTTGCTGTGCTGAGCGGGTTCGAGGCTCGAGCCAAATCGAGCCAACGTGCGTAGGGGAAGCAGGCGGCGAGATGCCAAGGCAATGGGCAAAGTCATGGACAACATCAATATGCTCAAAATGGTCCGGCTGTTCCGCCTGGCCAGGGTGGTGCGGCTCCTGACGCAGTTCCGCACGCTGTGGATGCTCGTCCAAGGTCGGGGGGCAAAACCAGGAGGGGAAACAACACACATGCACGATGCATCGTCGACTCCCAGGAGGATCTGGGAAACTGCGGGAAGTGGGGGGGAGACGACGAAGACCCAGAAGAGGTGGGAAAGCAGGGGGAATCCTGCTGTTTGTGCATCTCTGTCTGTGTGCCCCAGGGTCGGGCCGGGCGAAAGGGGGGGATTGGGAAAGGGGGGCTTACGAAATTTCGCTGCATGCAGCTGGTTTCGGCTTCACCGAGGGGCCCATTCCTCGACACATGGCCGCCTCCAGCGCTGGGAAAATCGGCTGCGTGAGCTGATTCTCGAACCCCCCCTTTGCTATCCCCCCCTTTCGCCCGACCCGACAGGGCCCCTTCGCAAATGGGTGGAGAGGTGCTCCTCGCGCCCCGCGCGCACGCGCGCAGCACCTCCCGACCTTTGGCGGGGCGCGCGGGGGCGGCGGCGGGAGCCTTCCCCCCCCTGGCGTCGCCTCGGGTGCCCCCCCCCCCGGCGTCGCGCCGATGCCGCCCTCTGCTTCGCCAGCCCGCAGCTGCACAGACATCAGGAGGGGAGGAAATACACAGACACAACTAATCGTCGGCTCCCAGGGAGATGTTGGAAAATATGGGAAGTGGGGGGGAAGACAGACACCCAGAACATATGGGAAAGTATGGAGAATCCTTTTATGTGTGTGTATGTATTTGTGTGTCCCAGGGCCTCTTCAAGATAGGCTTAAGTCGGGCCTGTCCCTCTACAGGGGGAGCATTCAAGAATAGTCTAAACACAGTCTGGGGACTACGTGTTGACTCTCTGTGGCCATGTGGGGGCATTGTTTGGGTGTGCGTGTTGTTTGTTCCTCCGGAATCCGCCTGTAGGGGGGCATGCAGAATCTGTGTGTTCGACGCTTTCTTCATGACCCTCTCCAGAGTAACATGCCCACGCTGGAACCCAAGCTGGAGGGGG